GAGCAGAGGAGCCTGAGGGGTGCCCTCATTGCTGGGGATCCATTGGGAAAGGGCAGTGTCAGGAGGAAGGAGCCAGGCTCTGCTCTGGGATGGCCCAGGCTGGGGAGAGGTTTTGGGGTCCCCTTCTCTGCAGACCCCCAAAGCCCTGGCCGTGTTCCTGTGTGACTGCTCTGGTGATCCTGCTCTGGGGGAGCTCTCCAGGTCCCTTCCAACTCTAAATATCCCGTGATTCTGTGTTTCCCCTCCACTAAAGCCGATGACAACGCCACCATCCGTGTCACCAACCTGTCCGAGGACACGCGTGAGACCGATCTCCAGGAGCTCTTCCGGCCTTTCGGCTCCATCTCCCGGATTTATTTAGCCAAGGACAAGACCACCGGGCAGTCCAAGGTGAGTTTTCCCCCTCAGGGGGTGCATTTTCCTTTTTGGGGGTGCTGAGATGACCCCCCCACTTCCTCTCACCCTTTCTCTTCCCCCCCACCCCAGGGATTCGCCTTCATCAGCTTCCACCGCCGCGAGGACGCGGCCCGGGCCATTGCTGGGGTCTCTGGATTTGGCTACGACCACCTCATCCTCAACGTGGAATGGGCCAAGTGAGTGCCAGGGGGGTGGCTCGGAGCATTTTGGGGTGGCTCAGAGGGTTTTGGGGTGGGTTAGGGGATTTTGGGGGGTGGCTCAGAGGGTTTTGGGGGTCATTTAAGAGGGTTTTGGGGTGACTTAGATGATTTTGGGGTGGCTCAGATGGTTTTGGGGTGGCTCAGAGGATTTTGAAGGTCACTCAAGAGGGTTTTGGGGTGACTTAGAGGACTTCGGGGTGGGTTAGAGGATTTTGGGGGGTTGGCTCAGAGTGCTTTGGGATGTGTTAGAGGGTTTTGGGGTGGCTCAGAGGATTCTGGAGTGGGTTAGAGGGTTTTGAGGGTCACTCAGTAGGATTTTGGGGGTCATTTAAGAGGGTTTTGGGGTGGCTCATAGGATTTTGGGGTGGTTTAGGGGATTTTGGGGTGGCTTGGAGGGTTTTGGGGGTCATTTAAGAGGGTTTTGGGGTGACTTAGAGGACTTTGGGGTGGGTTAGAGGATTTTTGGGGGTTGGCTCAGAGGGTTGGGGGCTGTCTGAGAGGATTTTGGGGTGGTTTGGAGGATTTTGGGGGGTGGCTCACAGTGTTTTGGGATGTGTTAGAGGGTTTTGGGGTGGCTCAGATGATTTTGGGGGTCATTTAAGAGGGTTTTGGGGTGCCTTAGAGGATTCTGGGGAGTGACTCAGAGGATATTGGTGTGGTTTAGGGGATTTTGGGGCTCATTTAAGAGGATTTTGGGGTCCTGACCGCATTTTCTCCCTCCACAGACCCTCCACCAACTGAACCCGGTGTCGCTCCAGCTCCGGATGAGAGCAACGGGCGCCCCTAAATAAAGCCTTGAGGTCTGGAATGCACCCACGTGTGGCTCTGAGCTGAGCTGGGGGGTTCACGGTGCAGGGAGGAGCCAGCTCTGTGCCACCGGTCCATGGGTTCTAGGCTCATTCCCAGCTTTCCAGCTAAGAAATGAGGATTTCTGCCCCAAAAAAGGTGCAATATGAGGCTGTACTTGCAATTTTTGGCCTTAATTCCCCCTTTTCCCCACATTATCCCCCTTTTTTCATAGGGAAACCCATGCCCAAGGGCCACACTGAGCCCTGGACAACACAGAAAGGGCTCAGTGCCACCTTTCCTCATTTTTTAGGCTTGATCCTCAACCTTTTCCTGTAGGAAAAATGGGAATTTCCACCACAAAACTACACAACATGAGCCTGTACTTGCGATTTTTGGCCTTAATTCCCCCTTTCCTCCACATTCTGCCCCCTTTTTGGGAGGGAAACCCATGCCCAAGGGCCACACTGAGCCCTGGATCTCATTTTTTAGCCCCATCCCAACTTTTTACCCTAGGAAAAAGTGGAATTTCCACCACAAAACTACACAATATGAGCCTGTACTTGCAATTTCTTGGCTTTAATCCCCATTTTCCCCGTGTTATGCCCCCTTTTTCATAGGGAAACCCATGCCCAAGGACCACGCTGAGCCCTGGACCACCCAAACCAGTGATGTGGTGTCACCATCCCTCAGTTTTTAGGCTCATTCCCATCTTTTCCACTCAGAAACACGGATTTCTGCCCCAAAAAAGGTGCAATATGAGCCTGTGCTTGTGATTTTTGGTTTTAATCCCCCTTTTCCCCACATTCTGCCCCCTTTTTCCTAGGGAAACCCATGCCCAAGGGCCACACTGAGCCCTGGACGACACAGGAAGGGCTCAGTGCCACCTTTCCTCATTTTTTAGGCTTGATCCTCAACCTTTTCCTGTAGGAAAAATGGGAATTTCCACCACAAAACTCCACAACATGAGCCTGTACTTGAGATTTTTGGCCTTAATTCCCCCTTTTCCCCACATTCTGCCCCTTTTTCCTAGGGAAACCCATGCCCAAGGGCCACGCTGAGCCCTGGACAACACAGGAAGGGCTCAGTGCCACCGTTCCTCATTTTTTAGCCCAATTCCCACCATTTCCACTAGGAAAAAATGGGAATTTCCACCAAAAATCTACACAATATGAGGCTGTGCCTCTGATTTTTGGCTTTAATCCCCCTTCTCCCCACATTATGCCCCCTTTTTCATAGGGAAACCCATGCCTAAGAGCCACACTGAGCCCTGGATCTCATTTTTTAGCCCCATCCCAACCTTTTCCCCTGGGAAAAAGTGGAATTTCCACCAAAAATCTACACAACACGAGCCCGTACTTGCGATTCTTTGCCTTTAATCGTCCCTAATTCCCCTTCCCCAAACCCTCTCCCAGCCCGGGCTGCTCCTGCGCCCCCGGCCGCAGCTCCACGTCCTCCCCCGCTCCCTGCGCGGTGTCC